TTTTTTTTTTCAATTTTGCAGGAGCAAAATGTTGAAGAAATCTTACAGAAAGAAGAAAGGCCTGTCGAACCCAGCCTTCGCCGGCAGTGTTCAAAAGATCGACTGCACTAGATTATAGCGACTGATCTGGTCGTGTGGAACTTGCCAAATCCTTTGTAAATATAGTTGTTAAATGTACGAGTGTGATGCTAGATGTTAAGATATTTGCGAACGTGTTGAGAACTGTTGAAAGAGATTAGGAAAATATTAGGAAAATATTTCATCGACAAAGTATCTTCATTTTAAACACTAATCTTATTCGAACTGTATCTTTTAAATTGATCACGATGATTTAAAGATACATTACAAGAGGCTTTTGTTATTACTTATTTAACATTGTTCAAATAATATTACAAGTCGTAAGTAAAAAATTTCGCGTAGAATCATTAAAGTGTGAAAAAGATTCAGATTTCAGATTGCGGGAATTAGACATAAATATTTAAGAAAGATACGTCTTCCTTCGATTTTAAAAATTAATAAAGAGAAATCTATATTTTTTCTTTTTTTTTTTTTTTTTTCTTACTTCGTTAATGAATTCACTTGTTTGTGAGAAATGTTACCGGGCTCGAAACGCTTTCTTTACATGTTGTTGAGCTTTGAACTTGTCTCGTTCACTGCGAATCATTGTATCTATATAGGTAATTCACGAATCGTCGAGATTCGAATCGGGAGTTTCGATCCATTTTTAAACGAATTGTACGCTCCCAAAGCTTCAGGATTTTCAAAACTCTGTCGAATTTAAACAAATACATAATTTCAATGAAAACATTGAGATTGAAATCGTGATACGACATATTCTTCCCTTTACTTCAGTATTAATACAAAGAATATTTTTACTTGACACAATTACACTTTACGATCAATCACTCGTCAAATGGAATGCATTAAAGTAGCTAATTGATATGCATTAACCCATTAACTGCCATTATCCTCATTCGCAAAAAGAAATTTTCATGGCAATTTTAAAGGAAGAATTTCCTTAAATAAACGAGTATGTACAGTATTTTAATATTAGTGTAATATGTTTAATATGTTTTAATGAAATTTGGCATTTAATGGATTAACTCTCAGAAAACTCAGGCTCGAAAAAACAGATCGAAACTCACGAGCTCGACTACGAATAGTAAAATTCTCATCCGTGAGGTGACATGGATATCTTCTATTCTCGATTCCGTTCCTTTCGATCCTTCGAGCTGTTCATCCTAAATGCTTAATCTCCGTCACACCACCTTCGAACGATGATTCTAGCAGACAGAGTCGTTCGATCGTTAGAGTCATTCGCGTACTTATAAGACTAGTCCCTGCTTTCAATTCCCCATTTAAAAATCCACCGTACACACACACACACACACACACACATACACACACATTATTCCTCGTTACAAGTCTGAGACACTTTGAGACATTCCTACGCCAGAGAAATTCAATTGTAAATAATTATTGTTGAAACATATAAGATAGACTCGATCCTCGTTATACGATGGACGATAATTTTTTTTGTTTCTTTTTTCAAATAATTTCAAACGAGAGAAGTTTCATTTAATCTTTGACATTTTTGTATTGCAATTAGTAGACTGCGGATGTTCGTGCGAATTTGTATCTTGATTAATGTCATTATGTATTAAAAATTTAAAACGATACAGTTACGTGGTCGTTGTCGTAAAAGCTTGTAATTGTAGGACAGAGTCAGGCTGGGTGTACAAAGGAGGATCATCGAACATTGACGTATTTAATTTTAGACACATATAGCAATTTATTTTCGTTCGAAGGACACGTTGATGTGTATACAAATAAAAAGTAGAATTATTTCTTATAATTAAGGTACGTGGAGTTTTTATTCTGCGAGTTTAATCCTATGGATGCGAGAGTGCGAGTGAAATAGACGGGCGATCATGAGTACACATACACATAAGCCAAGTATTTTTTAGATTGATTGCGTTGTTATTGGCACAACGACGAACACTGATAAGAAAAATGATATGATGGCACAATTTGCTTACAATATTCTTTGCCTCCTGTTCTTTTCCTCTTAAATTATAAAAACAGTCGTTCAGAATGTATAAACTAGCTTTGGATAAATAAGTACAGCAGTTGGTGCTATTAAAACTATAATAATAACTTTAAAACTCTTTTTGTTGATATATCATATAATTTGATATATAAAGAAAATATTCTGACATTCTGATGTATAAAGAAAATATTCTGAAAGAAAGAGAATTCTCGTGATCTTTAAAAAACTATATATATATATATATATATACATATATAAGCATCGTTTAAAACATCTTTTCTTTCAATAAAAAAAAAAAAAATTATCTAAACACACCATCCTTCTAAAAAATTTAAAAGAACTTAAAAGAAACATTTTCAATTATCTTATGTTTGACATAATGTTAAACTAATATTGAAAGCTCTTAAAGTAAAAAGATAACGGTAAAAATTATATAGGAACACAGTGTCTAGGCATGTTTTTGCTTAGAGCTAAAGTTTAGAAACGTTTAAACGCTAAATAATAATAAAAGTAAAGATTAACGCAGTAGGATACAAAAGTAGATTCGTTTTTCTCGCATAAACATCATCAGGCTAATCCGTTATAATTCTTACTTTGAAACACAAAACTCGGCTCTTCCCTCGTTTCTTCTTTCCTTTCTTTTACGTGTTTTATCAGTTAAATTGTTATTAAGAATTAGATAACTATCGTTCGCAAGAATGATAATGTTGATGCCCATTGAAGTGTGGCTTGTGACAGCAAGGTAACGACCAGAAACGTTGCTCTCTTCCGAATTCTTCACCTTGCTTGATGGTCTGGGGAAGATTCTGACCCATGGTTTCCGGTAGGAACAAAACAATCGCCGCGCCAAGAAAGGATACTGCGCTGATTATCAGCATTGGAAGTCCTTCCCAAATTGCAGCCTAATAAATAAACAAATGTTTAATTGAAAAATTGTAATAGAAAAGCATTTATGATAAAGTAATGTAATAGATAAGAATTGAAACTTTCAGAAACGACAATGAGAAATATTCATCCTGATAGTACTATGGGTATTTTATATTTTTGTGAAAAAGATATACCAGATATACCAGAATTAGCGATACGTGAAAGTTCCTCACATATTCAGAAATTATTTATTTACACTGTTCATTGTGTCTTTTGATGATTCAACTGAAGACAAATTAAGATTGCAGATATAAAGAGATGTTAAAACGTGGATAGAAATTTTGATTTATTTACCGAGTCGGTGATATACGGTGCCAAACAATGCGCCACTATTCCAAAAATATGAATCAAAGACACTCCTTGCGATCTGACTGGTGTAGGGAGAAGCTCTGCTGCATATTGGAGAGCAATGTTGGCTACCATGTTCAGACAAAATCGCGAGAGCACTGACATTACTAATTTGGCCGTCACTAAAAAAATAATTTAAAAAAGAAATTACAAAATTGAATTAATTTAAAAAATCCCATGAGGTCCCATTGTAAATTTCGAGTTTAGAAATATAATTTAACTTACACTTGATTAAAAGCAAATTAAGAAACTATAATTTAATGGAATTCAATAAAATATCAAAACCTCGAAGAACAAATATCATACAAAGAATGATTAAAATAATTATTTATATAATGCGTTATGTTAAATATTTAACATAAATAATTTTCCAAAATTCCAAGAACTCTTTCACATCCTCCCCCAACTTATATATATCTGTGCAATTTCAGATCTGTTCTGTCACTATCGTCGCTCCAATTTTACTGAAATAAACGGAAAAATATATATCTACCGGAACGAAGCAGAAGTTCGGCGATACTGAGCATAAAAGTCATCGCCAGAGTGAGAAATCCGCAGAGTCTACGACCCCATCGATCCAGCAACAGGGTGAGCAATAATCCAGCCGGAAGTTCTGTGGCACAAGCGATCGAGAACGACACGAACACCGAGCTCTGGATAAGTTTTAATGAATACACGTGGCCGTCGAACGAGATCACGATGAAGCACCTGTAACACGACCACCGATCATTCGTCAAGCTTCTGCTTCCAACGTTAGCGTCGTTTCTTATACTTTCCAGAATGCAATCAGAAGGACAGTGTTTCTAGCCAGGCGTGGCGTTTTGAACAGATCGAACACCGTGGCTGATTCTTGGATTTTGTCCGACGCCTCCAGATTGCTCTGCAATAATTTCATTTGATCAACTTTGGTATTTAACGGATAAGATAAACTGAAGAATTCTCATGAAATTAGTATTTATTCGAGAAGGAAATTTCATCTTGTTAATTAACATTCTCAAAGGGATTCTACTTTTCGTAGTTTATCAATAGCAAGTATAATCTCGGGGACTCTTTAAACTTTCTAAATTTGGAAAGAAGATATTTCTTGCTTTGTCAGCAATCGGAGATTAATCAGTGAATTCTTCGATACTGGAACTGGCGGGTTTTTCGTACGAGAAACGAGAAATATCGAAAATGAAAAAAAAATAAATAAATAAAGTGAATCTATTGTTTCAGTTTTATACGTGAAAATAGCGAGATTTTACAAGATTTACGGAGTACATCAAATATCCGTCGATACAGATTCGAACAATCGACGTTCCACAAAATGTTCACGTAACATCTGTAAAATTCTATTTGATCGAACTTACGACGAATGCATCGTAAATACGCGGGTCCGGATTTTTACGATTGATCCTGGCTATTCTTCGGAGTTTCTCGACAACCTTGTCCATCATCCCGTTGGAAACGTACCACCTTGAGCAGAATAAACATTCGTCGTATGAAATGTGTGGGTTAAATAAATTTGCATAGATTCTGGGTCGGAAGCTGAGGATATTATTCGACTAATCGATCGCGATTAAGAGATTTATTTACCGGGCACTCTCGGGGAGGATCCATGGCGTAATAACGACTGATAACAGTGGCACGGCGGTGAGGTAAGTGAAATATCGCCAGTTCGAGATGTAGTAAGCCATCCATGGTAAAATTGTACTAGCTGCTGCGAAATAAATGCCAAACGCGACGTTGACGACTAACGTTCGCTTCGAGACAGCCATATATTCGAGCACTGTGGAATAATTGGAGCAATTAACTATTACATTCAGTTGTTCAATGACTGTCATTATTCTTTATGTTACAGCGAGACTTTATGCAAGATCCAACGAGAGAAATCTGCTGTTGTTAATCCAGAGCGATTGATGTTGGTGATGTCAAAGTGAATAAGTAATTGTAAGGTTGCAAATATTAATTTAATCTAATTCCTGATTGAGTGAGTTTGAACTAGCCTAGATGATTAAAAAAATAATCAACATGAGGCTGCTGAAAATAATAATTACAACATCCCAGCAATCCACAAAATACATTCAAAATCGCCAATAAAATATCGAAATAGAACATTGAATAGTCTTTTACGTAACGAATAAAACATAATCTGGCTTATTATCGATAAAACGCCTCCGATAGGCTCGATAAGTTCGTGGAGAACTTACCGATAATCAGAGGGATGTTGATACAGTTGTCGAACGCCAGTCCGGTGAGAAATCTACAAACGGCGAACGACCAAAAACTATTCGCGCTGGCAGTGACGATAGACGAGAGAAGGGCAATACTGTTGCAGAACATCAGAGCCGGGATACGGCCCTTGTGATCGGCGATCCAGCCGACTAGGAAACCACCGACGATGGATCCGCAGAAGAAGATGGCCTGCGCCGTTGATACGAGGTATTCTCGGTTGCATACCCAATCTAGCTAATCACCAAGAGCTAAGAGTTAGTCAGTGAAAAGGTAATCGTTTTCAATTTGCTGTTTCATCACTGATGTTCTTCTCGCATGATCTTCTTCCTCTTTTTCATTGAGTCTGTCGCGAGTACTTTAAATATTTTATTTGCAGGCTCTAATTAATCATCGGGAGCTAAATATTGAAAGGACGTACGTAGCTGCTTCGTTTTCTTCTCACTTCTTCTTCATTCATCAGAGTTTACATCTCTTTAAATAATGTTCCTTTTTCAATGTTTTATTCGCAAAACGAGACGCTAAAATCGAATATTTAATAATATTGTATGATATTATTAAACATACCATAGGTGCAATGTTTGATATTTAAT